TGAATATTCTACTAAGACTACACATTGATGGAACTCATACATAATCAGTGCAGGTGTGTAACTCGTTCTTTGCTGTGGATGAAAATTAGGTAATTTAGGCTGTCCTGCTTCTGATGTCCTCAGCAATATGAGTGAATGGGAACTGCCAGTGACATCAACAAATCCAATAAGGAATTACAAATCTTTCAGGAAACTATGAGGAGGCTTGCAAAAGATTGATCCTCCGTACTTGCAAGTTATGTTTCCAGAAGTTGTAAATCACATGTATATATATATATACATCTCTACGTATATTTCACCTTAAGTGTGTCTGTTCCTCAACACATGATCAGACAGTAAACAATAAAGAATGAAAAGGCTACACCGTATTTCAAAACCTGTGAAGAGTAATGTCCTAAGCTTTCATTCATAAATAGCTGTGACAAATAGTTGTCCAAACTCTCATCTTTGTCTAAACAAGATGAGGGTTTCTCAAGTGGCCAGAGATTAGTTTTCTTATACATAAGCTATTTTCCAAGTCTAAAAGAGAAATGTTATGCTAACTCCAAGCAAAGGTCTAGCCGAAAGCTTTTTTAAGCACTTATCAACATGGTTATTCTTGAACATGCGTTTACATGACATATTGGTTCACGAAGTAAAAGAATTCCTGGGGTAGCCTGCCTGTTAAGAGGTATAATTATCTATCCTATTTTATGCCATAAAATTTTTGTATGACAGTCCCATGTAAATATTTCATTCATCAAATTTTAAGAAATGAGTTGAATACCAAATAGGAAACATAGTATAAATAGCTCTGGGTCTCTTAAAGTGATACAGCAGTCCAAAGCCACGTCTATATCTTATGGAACAGCCTCCCCCAAGAAACTAGATTAGCCCTGACATTGTTTTTCCAAAAGCAAGGGAAAAAAAGTCTCTTCTGAAGGACTTGCTTAATTTAATTTGAGGAAACGCCATGTGTATACAGTATGTTTAGGTTCTAAGTTATTGTTTTAAATTTTGTAATTTAAATATGTTATTCTACTGTGGATATGTTAGGTCCATATATTTTATATTATCTTTGTATACCGCCAAGAGACACTGATTATGGTGGTTTAGAAATCTAGTCATTAAAACAATGACTTCTGTTTAAATGTTGTATTGTAGCTCAATTTCTTGTGGAATTTAACTTGTCAGAAAAAAAGACTTCTGCTGCTGTGATATTTTCATAGCACAGTTCCTGTCTTGGCTTCCAGATCAGTTCATTGATATGAATTGTGAACAGTTATTTATTTTTAAGTAACCTACCCCATGCTGAGAAGTGGCATGTGATTGAAAATGAATATAATGGTCACTTTTTAAACTGGCATCAGCCTACGTGTTCATTGGCATCCTTTGTACAGTTGATGGGATCATCTTTCAATGAAATAAAACTGAAAAAATGAGATGGTGGCTGGCCTACTAGCTTCTGGTGGGATGGGCAACCTAGGTCCTCAGACTTATTTGAAGAGAATTTTAGAGCCCTTGTGCAAGGGATAATTCATACCTCTGATAATTGTCTCTTCTCTGCAGCCTGCTGACTGGGAGAGAAAAGTGTGTCTTACTGCTTGCTTCATACCAGCTCTCCATGTTGCCCTCAAATGATTACCCTGGAGGAGCTAGCCCTTTTCAGACAATATATTCCCAGGTTCAGTTCAGTAGGAGATAGGATGAGCAGCCCCTTCTCCCTCCAAGTCAAACTGGAGATGTCACTGAAGAGAAAGCAGGATGCTCTTCAGCAGGAAGCCTTCACCTGCATGCAAAGATTCCCACATGAGCTGGAAGCCTGCAAGGTCATGGGGCTGAGCTCCTGAATCTTAACAAAAAATGGGCCCAGGTTGAGGAGGGCTTCTCCAAAGGTTAGATACAAACCTATTTTTGAACCTTCATGGGACCTTCAGCCTAATTTCTGAAATCCTCTGCAAAGTATTAGCTGAGACCTTTGGTGAGAACGACCTGTCTTTTCTCTGGCAACCTGCTGGATGAATTAGATGGCCTTGCTCACTATCTACCAGATCTGTTGCCAGCATAGTCCTGATAGATAGCCCTCTTGTGCATTGGTAGCTCGGAGTGGTATGCTATAAGAAGTCCAGTGAGAGAACTTTCTATAGTTTACACCATTCAATGTACACCTGATTAGACACTGGGTTGGATGGCTCCTACAGTGGCCTGATTTCTTGCTAAGACTTATGAGAGTTGTCCAAACCACCTGGAGAGTATGAAATTTTAAATATGTATGCTAATATATACTTCCTCTTGAATTACTCCTTGACAGTCAAAGAGGCTTTTCATTAGAACTGTATTTTAGCTTGGGAATTGCTGTTGTCTGCTTTGAATTTTATTTAATACAATATACTAAATAAACTCAAGTTCAGCTTGTTTATTATCCTAATGTGCTTGCTAAACAATATGCAAAACATAAGTATTTTACAGAGTTTCTTAGACAATTACTCAGATATGAAAATCAAATATGTTGCTTTGACAGTTTAACGCAAATGGAAAATTAAATCTCAAAGAAGTGAAGATAAAGCCTAACGTTACATTCTTCTTTCCTGAAGTAAATTAAGCTGGAAAACTGGAAGACTGCATTTGAAATGTATAACTAATACCCATTTAGGCCTCTGCAAAAGCTCTCTATTTTACAATAGGAGCTTCACATCAATTCTCTGTATAAAAGAAACATTGCTGTTCTGTGAATGATCACAATTAACTTAAGTTGCACAGTGGGAAACAATGATCTATATCAGTGTTTCTCAACCTCAGCAACTTTAAGATGTGTGGACTTCAACTCCCAGAATTCCCCAGCCAGCACGGGGAATTCCACACATCTTAAAGTTGCTGAGGTTGAGAAACCCTGATCTGTAGACTTAAATATCCTGGATCCCCATTTACTCTACTGTGTTGGCCTAGAATGTTTTTGTGTTAAGTTGTAGAAAGTGGGAAGGAAAAATGGTCAGTTGTCATTCAATCCCATGTCCTTTGGCTTATCCAACACCTCTGTTTTGTGTTGGATGGGAGCCCCAGCAGAGAGAGAGCATCTGGAGATTTGGGGTACCATGCCATTAATATGCTCTTCCTGTCCAACCCAGTCTTTCTAGGGAGGAACTAGCAAATAGACTAGAATAAAGCAGGAAAAAAGTCAGTAGTTTTCTGTAGGGATTTATTTGAACTAGATATAGGAACGAATGCTTGGGTAGATAGATTCGCACTATTCCTTAAGACTGCATAGATCTGCATCTGGTGGCTATCCTTAGAAAGTGGCCTGCCAGTTTAGGCTCTTTCAGCAACTGATCATATTTGAAGAAGAAGGACCTGATCATAGTAATTCATCTATACCTCAGATTACTGTTACATATTTTGTATGTCCAGAGTTTTGAATTGATGATTTATAAAGGGCTTTTGAGTTTAGGTCAAGGGGCAAGTGAAATTAGTCAGAAGATCTATGTGATTCCTTAGCAATATTGGTTGCTCACTGCTAGCCTGAAAGATTTTAGATGTTACGGTTTGGTATTTCCCACATTAGCCTCCTTCCATATTTTATGCAAGAGAAATGAACCTATAGAAGTCTTTTCCAAGGAATTTGTACCTCACTTCGTCCTTCTGTTACCCTGAGCTGTAGTATTCCAAAATGTTTTGAGTATTTGCATGATGCTTGCTGAGGATTTATGTCAACTGCAGCTGTTAATGTTTTTGATTTGCTACTGTAGCTTTTGGAGTTGTGGTTTTGTATCAAATGTAATTGATGGCAGCTTTGTGTGTTTTTAGACCAGGAAGGCAGAATACAATTGTGTAGATAGTTAGCTGTATAATATATAATATTTGTTTTGATAGATAAGTAATGAAGAAGAATTTAAAAACGGATGGGGAAAGTACTGTGAAGGTACCTGAAAATATATTTATACAAGTATTCTAATGCTTCAGTTTTAAAATTGTAGTAGTATATTAAAGTAGCAGTATCTTAAAATAATTTTTAGTGCCTGAGTATTTAATGTATTTTATAGGTACAGTATTTTATCAACTTAATTGACCAGATTTTTGGTTCATGACGCCCCATATGTATTTTAGCTTCTATTTTTTATTATGAGTCTTTTTCCTGTTGTCTTACTAATAATATTTTCACTTATGTTCATTTTGTAGAAACGCTTTTTTGTATTCTTACTTGGAATATATAATTTTACTTGTAAAACTGTATGGCTTACTGGTCAGTGACCAAAATATAAACTATTCATTTATATATGAGAGGGCAAAAAATCATACAAAAATTAAAGAAGAATTTATTTACATTTTCTGTAATCTTTCTGTTGATATAAGAATGTATTTAGGATTAAGTACATTTCAGTCAGAGAACCAGTTTGGTGTAGTGTTTAAGGCACCGGGCTAGAAACCGGGAGGCCATGAGTTCTACTCCCACCTTAGGCACGAAGCCAGCAGGGTGACCTTGGGCCAGTCCCTCTCTCTCAGCCCTGGGAAGCAGGCAAGGGCAAACCACTTCCGAAATCTTGCCAAGAAAACTGAAGGGACTTGTCCAGGCAGTCGCCAGGAGTCAAAATTGACTTGAAGGTACCCCCCCCCAAAACATCAATCTGTGTGAGCGAGTATGAAACTGTCATTGTACTGAACTTGGAAACCTTTCTTTCTGTAATCTTAGCTTCTTTAATTCTATCTGAAAACCACTCTAAAACATGCCAGATTAGATTCTTATTTGCAGATGTGATAGTACGGAAACTGAGAGTCATGTTAAGTTCTTTTTGCATAACCCCTCAAGGCTATTAAGCTTATTAAAGCTTAACATAACTTAAATAATGTGCTCACAAATTTGGTGTCTGTCCAATTAGAGAAAATGAACAAAAATAGCAAATCTGGATTACCTTGTGTATACTTCGTAGGAAAGAACGGCACGGATACTTGACTGTTCCTTGTAAACATCGCTGCAGTGAACTGCTGCTATGCTAAGATACTGATGTGGAAAATTCTCTCCTCCATAGGTTGATGGGAATATCAGCAAGATTTATTGCCAAAACCTTTGCTTGCTAGCAAAGCTCTTTCTTGACCACAAAACTTTATATTATGACGTTGAGCCATTCCTTTTCTATGTCCTCACAAAGAATGATGAAAAAGGGTGCCACTTGGTGGGATACTTCTCTAAGGTAAACGTTTGATCTTACCATTATCAGAGTTTCTTGCTTTTACGCAGAGCTTTAATGTTTGTTGTTCTGGGCAACAGCATTTCAAGTGGGAGTGAACACATTTTTCTGTTTTATCAGTTTATGAAGTGTTCTGAACACAGGTTGTTCTTGGGTCAAAAATACAGTGCGCAGATCCTTTAAATCTCCCATGTTTGGAGCTAAATTTGACAGTATGATGGTTGCTCAGAGCAGGTGCTATCTTCAGTCATTCAGTTCTTCTTACTTTATTGAGTTGTATATTTAATATAATTTATGTCATTTGCATACAGTATGGTTAATCTGTACTTCCTTCATTAGTACCTAGCAGAAATGTAATCAAATAATTTAAAAATAAAGTAACTGAGTTTTGTATTCCTTGGATCTAAGACCAGACTTAAGGCTACTTTTTGTGAAGTCTAGCTCCTCAAAACGTGAGAACTACTATGGACCCATGATCAGAAATGATATTTTTGCCACATTCTGCCTATTTACACCTTACTTTCCAGGCTCCCACACGTGTTCTTCTTTCTTTCAGGCTCAGGTGAAGAGGATGCAGTGTGTGGGACCAGCAAAGTTGCCCCAGATTATCCTGGTCCGGCATTGCCTTACGAAGTGTCTGAGCCTTACTCTATTGCTAAAGGAGTCCTGCTGTGAGTTGACCCATAGCTGTTTGTTGCTTAGATTTGTAGTTAGCAGGATGGGTTAAACAGAGGGAGGGAGTTCTCTTCTAGCACTCTTCTTCATCTGTTTGCTGACTGGTCAGGGGTGTCCGGAGGGGGAGGGGCAAAAAAGTCAAGATGTCAGCCATGACTGTGTGGTTGAAGTATGTAGAAAAGGGCTGGGACTTTGATTGCACAGATGCTGGTGCCCTCTTGACTTTTTTGACCCCTCCCGCATGGACGCCCCTGTCAAAGGTTATTTATTTTTTTTAATTTAATACAGTGTTTTGCGCTCCCTTGCTCAACCTGAAAATATCCCAGGGTGTTTTACAGAATAGTACAAAGATATATATGTTTATGTGGCAGTATAGTAAGGCTGAATTATGTGAGTTTCAGGATTTCTGAATTGGGAAGTACAAAAATAAGGAATAAGAAAAAATACTCCTTCATAACCATATTGAGATTTCTGCCAGCACTTAGGCTGAAAGACATCAACAGTTGCTTTGCACTCTGAGATGCTTGGTGGGAATAAACTAGACTGAATGTTACAAAGATGATAAGGGATAATACTTTGCCTAAAATGGTATCCTCCCAATGCCATGGCAGAGAAGACATGTGGGCCAAGGTGGTTGAACAATCTTTTAATGTGATATCTTCTATTAAGTTCCTGATATAAAGAGGGGACTTCAAGAGAGGGACAGGTGTTGGTGTACAAAGGTACAGAAATATAAATAATTAAGCCACCCATTCTTGCTCAAAATCAGTATGATCCCCGCAACCCTGTTTGTAGGATGCACTTTAGCTTGGTGCCTCTTAACATTTTCTGAGACAAATGGATGATTTCAAAACTTGCTTGGACATTTTTCATTACTGGCACCTTCCTGGTGGTGCTGAGAAGTAGGGCTATATATTGTAGCCCAGTCAAAAGCTGCAGTACCAGCCTCAGCTGTACTGCACGGACGAGTCCTGTGTCTCTGCAGTTTAACCCATCTTGCCAGCTACTGATTTAAGCAACAGCTCAACAGGATTCAGGACATCCTAGGGCTTCTCTGCTCGTCCCAGGCACTCCAACCTTCCATCTGGATTTGCCCCTAAAAGGAGAGGGAAAATGTGACTATATGAAGGGTAAGTTGTAAGTAAGCACAGATGATGACATTGTGCGTAATTATTCCTCATCGTAGGACACATCTATTAAGATACCGGCCTTAGGTGCCATTTTCTGGCTTTGTGGAACTTGAATCAACTTCATGTAGCTTTGTACCTGGTCTTGACCTGGTAGGTTTCTTATAATTGAAGTCTCTTCATTTTGAAATGGCAATGTATCATTATGGTATTGGCAGTCTCCCCGATGTTTTTGAATCTGCTTTCAATACGATACATGGGATTGTCAACTAATGATAACCATGGTTTCATTTCAATATGCAATATCAGTTTATCTTTTTGAACAAAAATACTTGAGCCAGCCATATTGTATTTGCTAATCAAGACAAATTGAATGAATAATAATAAGGGCACAAATTAAGGATCCAGTTTCTAAGTTACTCAGAAGGCTTCTTTTTCCTGAACTGTAGCAAAATGGGGGGTTTAGAGGTGTTTGTGAAAACCCCTCCCACAATTTGTAATGAAGGATATCAATTGCAGGAGGAGGCTGTGATTCTGTTCCAATTTGCACTGAAAGAAGTAACCTTTGAATGAAAAAAATGTAGTGGGGGTAGGTAACAATGCCAAGGGCACCAGTGGGCCTTCAGATATTGCTCTTGGTACTCTCAAAGTACCACCTGCCATGTTTTTTTAATAGTGTTTCAATTGAAAGCTAGAAGCTGGCATACGTCTCTCACCCTTTTTATTTACACAAATGCCTCCCGACCCCCAGATAGACTCTGAAGATTTTCTTGAAAAAGAAATACTAGAAATCTGCAGCCCAGTGCTTTGTTTAGGAGTGTGTCCATTTGATCTGGGATGT